GAAATTAAGACAGAAAGATAAATCGAGGAGGCAGAGAGATTCAGAGCACAGCGAGGGGCTTTAAAAAATGCATGCGTCTCCATTTGGCAGAGAGAGGGGAGAAAAAAAAAAAATTCCCAGCATCGAGGAGACTGAAGGTGAGCTCGAGCATTAACACTCGGATTGTCTGAAAACACTCCGTCGAAGAAGTGAAAGTGAAAGAGGAGCGAGAGGCTGTGGAGATGCCCCGAGGCTGCGCTGCCTTCTCCCCCATGATGCCATTTAACTGCTGCTGCTGCTTACTGTGGAACCGCACAAACACTCAGCGTGTTTACACATGATCCATTTACAGTTGAAGGCCATCAGATTAAGTGCAGCGAGGCCCGATGGTGTAGACAACACACACACGGGGCTGCTGCGTTCCTTCCTATCGCCGCTACAAATCATCCGTCAGTCGGGCTCGATGACCCAGAATGTTTGGCGGATTTCTTGACATGCATGTGCTGCAGCCTCCGTCTCTAATCTGTCAGACCTCCGAGGGGAATAATGCAGACATTTAGTCTCCTCTGGGAATCCTGACAAACAGAAAGCCTTTCCATCAGCCCAAGACTTAATCCTCCAGCAATAACTGACATTACAGCAGCTCCTGGATTCAAGGCTTTCAAGGTGAGCGAGCGGAAGGAGGGGAATCGAAACGCAGTCGGAAAACCCACAGATGAAGTTATTTAATCAGACATCTGAAACTTCTCGTTGCGTCTTTTGGAAGAATCTTTGATGTAAAGTGAAGTGGTTGACTCATTCGTCTGTCACATCTCAAAACTAACCAATAAAACAGACATTTTGGCAGATGAAGCACATGTTTGGATGATTCCATTAGTGGGAGCTTGTTAACTAAATCAGTTTCACCTGCTTTTGAGCCAAAGCTGATCCAACATCTAAGTTGTTATTGTCTCCCAAAACAGCCCACATGAGGTTTTACTATTGTTTGTCTCTATATTTAGTGCAGCGTCATCTTCCAAAAGCACTACCAGCGGTTACATCACTGCTTTATTTGGGCTTTAAATGATCCGGTCGAGGCAAAGGTCAGGAAGAGATCCCTGTCCGAAACCAGGAACATGAAACACAAATAAAAACCACTCTCCCTACGTGGATGTTTTGTCTTTGTGACTCAAATAATCTCTCTGACCTCGACCCGGAACTATTTTGCAGCTTTGAAATAAAGTCACGCCACAGTAGCTGTTGATACTGGGACACGGAAGTAGGGTTTTAGGAAGTTCAGGTCAGGTAAACAAGGCCTGTCTCCTAAAAACGACATTCTAGGACAAGTAAACTACACTCTCGATTAGGTTTTGTTGTTTAGCCACCCAATCATATATGAGGTGTAACCCAGTCGATAGAAGTGTCATATTTTAGCCTAATTGGGATACTTCTCTACATCTAATAATGGTCCAACATGTGAACCCCATTCAAGCCCAGTTGTGGATTTCTTCCAGGAAGAAAATGCATTTCTTGTAACATGAGGATGCAGTTCTCATCATCGTTTTTGGCAGATATTTCTGGATAAGCACACCAATGGGTTGCTTTAGGTGTTGGAATTAAGGACTGATGCTCACGTTCTCGTAAGGACAGTCAGATGATCACATAAGCTGTGGGTCAGCATCCTTTGAAGGATGAATCGAGTGTTGTTAATGAGGCAGTCTGGTCTACAGAGGGAACAGGATAAAGGTAGTCTTGCATAGCCAAACCAATCTACTCATAAAGAAAGCTCTTTGTATTGGACAGAAGTTTCTACACCGGACAGGGTACTTGTTTTGTCCTGTAAACAACCCTTAAAGATCTTCTACAGCGGCTGTTCATGCAGTTGGAAGATGCTCAAAGGTTTGGGCAACCCTTAACTAAGGGGTGTCCAATCCTGGTCCTCGAGGGCCACAGTCCTGCATGTTTTAAATGTTTCCCTCTTCCAACACACCTGATTCAAATGATCAGGATCGTTATCAGGCTTCTGCAGAGCTTGATGATGAGCTGATCATCTGAATCAGGTGTGTTGGAAGAGAGAAACATCTAAAACATGCAGGATTGTGGCCCTCGAGGACCAGGATTGTCCACCCCTGCCTTAACCAGTCTACAAGTTCCTGCAGCGGAAAATGCTCTTCAAATGTGGCCTTCAACGAATCCAACCCCTGAACTAAGACACGGCTATAAAGAAGCAGCTTTAGCTTCTTGCTAAGTCATCTGAAACCGCACCACGCATCTGGAATTAACTCCCACAAAACTGCAGGTTTGTTTGCCTTTCACCGAACCAAATCTGAGACGTCTTAATATCTTAAACTGCGCTGTAACTACCACTTTTTGTTTCACATCCATTTCTTTATCCTCTATTTAACGCTTTTAATTTAGCTGAAATGTCATTTTTATACCACTTCGTGTTGCTTCACACTTGAAGCTTGTCATCTTTTATGCAAAGCACTCTGAATCGCCTTGTTGTCGAAATGTGCTAAAACTTTGCCGTCCTGGTGTTGCGGTACTTGGGTTTTAATGAACACATTGTTCGCAGTCAATTGCAGCTAGGCTGACTAAAACCATGCAGCTATATCTAGCGCACATCTATTATTAATGTATGCTTTAAGTTCTGGAACAAGGAGAAAAATGTGAAGTGAAGAACGGCTAATGGTCGGTGGATGAACAGCTCACATCAGCGTGACAGCATCTCCAGTGGCATTCTGTCAGCAGTGGATAAAATAAAAGTAAAGCAATGTTCACATTCAAAAACAAAATGATTGGTTTTTGGTTTTGCTGGTGAAAATAAGACCCAGTTTGTTCACTGATAAGTAGGTGGGATGTAAAACTGAAACTATAAAATGCTTTATTTGAATAATCATCGTTGCACTGGATTGTGGGAATAAAGAAAACAGACAAACAGCACAAGGAGGCCGAGTGTGCGGTTGGAGGGAGGCAGTGGAGCAGAAGCTCTCTGCATGTATGTGAGTGCATTTCTGTGCATACATGTACGGTACGTGTGTCTCTCATGGATTGGCCGGCGCTGGTTGTCATGGTTATCTGGCTATACCGTGGTTACCTCGGTCACTGCGGAGCCCAGCATCCCTCGTAAAGGTTTTAGTATCACACCAAAACCAACAAAAAAAACAAAACCCCGTTCACACACCCTTTTTCCTTCCCACTGAGCTTCTCCTTCCTCCTCTGATTTCACCTCCATCCATCTGCCTCCCTTTTACAATCCACTCTCTCTTCTGCTTAGCTTTGCTCTTCTCACCATCCCCCCTCTGCCTCCCTCTTTGCCTCCCCCCTTGTCTCTTATGTTCCCTCGTCTCATTTCCCTCCTCTCTCCCACTCTTTTCCTTTCTGTCGCTCTTGGTTTCTCGTTTCTCCATCTCCGATCTTCTCCTTCCTCCCTCTCAGCTCTAATAAGCTCACCTCGTTAATAATACAGCTACTGTGCGAAGTCGCCCGTCTCCCATTTATAGTCTGCTGAAACTCGGATTAGCGATTCTACGCACAAACTTCGACACCAAAGTGATGAATCTGCACCGGTGCAGCGGCCTGTCGGTGCGTTAAAATCCGCAAGTGAGTGTTGGTTGCAGAAAATCTGATTTGCGAAACAATATTGCTTTAAGGGCTTCAATTGGTTTTTAGCGCAAACACACTTTAAAGCTCTTTAATCTCCACAAATGCACAAAGTGTGTTTGTGTGTTTGTGTGTCCCTGGTGGCAGCGAAGAAGAAGAGGTGTGAGTCACAGCGGGAAATGTGCGAGACTATGTTTTTTGTTTTTTTTCCATCCGGGCTGCAAATCAGACGCTGATATTTGCTGATGTGGATGTTTCTCAGAAGCCTGTTTTGCTGTTTGTGAGGCTGAAAGCAGCTGAAAAACAACACTTTTGGACAAACACTGACGCACCAATGTGGGTAAAAGGGGTTAAAGACATGATAGAAAACTCAAGCGAAGTAGGAGAAGCTGCACCTGTACTCCTGCGCTCTGCTTCTTTTGTAATGTTTTGCTAGACGGTTACTCCCACTTTTGCTCTTTTCCGTCCCTTCCTCGCCGCCCAGCTGTGAACGCCCTCAGCCTCCCGCGGCGCCGTCGGGGAGCTCGGCCAGGCCGTGATAGTGACACCGAAGCCCCACAAAGCTGCTCCACAAACCCTCCGAGGCCCCGGCCAAACTGAAAGCTGCTTAGTGGGGCAAAAACTCTGGCTGAGTCCCTTAAAGCTGCACTAATCAGAGCTGTTAGAGGAGGAATCGCCAAATGTATCGCGCCAGAGATTACAAGGATGTCTCAAGCTACGAGTGCAAAGGTTTGGTGAACGGTGGTTAAAATGATAACACGCGCTCTGCTGACGTGAAAATCTCTTTTCACGGACGTCACAAAGCATGAGGTCACAGTTGTTGCACGCCTGAATGCAACAGCTCCATCCGGCACAATTACATCTCAACAAGACAAAGAGCAGGGAAGCTGTTGCATGTCTGAGCATGCGTCTTCTCGGCGCTCTGCAACCATGACGGCAGGCGTCGGCCGCGGATGCAACAAGCCACCCAGAGCACTTTGACTGGAGAGGAAGAGTAGCAGAAAAAAAAGGGAAAAAGAGAGAACAAAAGAGCCTCGGAGGCGCCCAATAAGACGGCCGCAGATCCCCGAGTGGCAAACATAACACAAGTGTGCCACTGTCAGTCCCTCTGTGCAAACTTGGCACCGCTCCTCCGTAGGCCATCAATGCCCTCTGCTTCTCCCGGGAGCATTACACTTTTTCCTGCACAGCTAGCTGACACATTAGCATGCAGCCCCCATCCCCCTGCAAGGGCAAATCAGCCTCTCGCAGCAGCAAACATCACACACAGGATCGCTTCATATGCAGCAGCTGGAGATCTGCTGGGAGAAACAACCATGATGCCGAGGCTAGATTCAGTGCAGATGCTGACAAAAGCAAACCAGACTTGGGCGACTCCAGCATTCAGCAGTGATTTCTCATCTAGTGGTAAATCCATCATGAGCACCTCGGAAGCCTACCTGACTTTGAACTCGGTGAGCTGTGGCTGCGCCCCCGGTTCAGCGCAGTAGATCTGGGGGAAGTAAAATCGATGCGACTGAAGGTTGATGTCCATGTTGTCGCTGCACAGCTGGTGCTCGGGTCAGCCCACGAAAATCAGAATTAAAAAAAAAGAAACAAACGTCTGTGTCTGTCTTCCTTTGTCTCTTCTGAATTTGACACTTCCGCTAAAGGTCGGAGTTCATTCCAGTCACCTTTGCAGGGCTTCCTACCGCCAGGAAGGCATCCCCCTCCTCTTCATCACCTCCGCCGCCCGGCACCGAACAGGCACACTAACCTATTTCCCCACTAGCAGCCACTGTACACTCAGCAGCTGTGAGAACAAAGATGACTCCGGGAAAAGATGCTGCTGCTGCTGCCTGCCTGTCCAACAGAAAAAAGAAATTTAAAAAAAAATCCCGGCTCTCGGTCAGCAAGTCATTGTTTTAGCCGGCAGAGGAAATTAGTGGCAAAACAAAGTGCAGGTCTGAAAATAGGAGGATGCTCCTGCAGGAGACTGACTGGGAGACGAGAGTCCTTTTGGTTTTTACGCTTCACAGACAGAGAAACGGAGTGAGATGGAGATGGAGAGAGATTCCCGGTGCTGTGAGGCGTTGCCCTCGCTCTGCCTCTCCTCTCTCTGTCTCATTGGATTACCTCCTCCCTCTACTTACCCCCCTCCTCCCTCCTGCCTCCCCTCCCAGCTGTGACAGGAGCGATGGGCTGCCAGCCCCGGAGGCTGCTGGTCCTGCCCCTCCTCCTCCATCCTGCCCCTCCATCCTACCCCACCCCACCATCCTATGCACCCCCCGCCTCCTGATTGGCCGAGGCGAGGATGCGTAAGTCTGGAAGAAGAGGAGGAGCGACGCATTTTAATTCATCTGATGGCTCCCGTCTTTTTCTCGCGGATGATTTGAGGCGGCGTGTCGGGTTTTGGGTGGAGCTCCAGATGCACAAAACGAACACACACCAGCGCGTACAGTGTGAACGCAGGCTGATCTGCTATTATGGGATGTACAGGTGGAGAGAAAAGCAACTTGGTGGCTCAGTTTGCGCTGAAGACAAGAAATTTAAACCACTTAGAGTTAAAAAACAAATTACACACACTGGAAAGTGTTTTTAAAAATTTTACAGGTTTTAACAATTTGCCTCCACTGTTAACAAGAAAGTGTACAATGTTTAACATTAAAATTAACTGCTAGTGTTAACTTTAATTTTATTTACGTGTTGACTCTAAAAACTAACAAAAAAAAAACAAAACAAAGCTTTAAATAGTTTCTAAAATTGAAAAAAAAGTATTATTTATTATTTTTCTTTTACAATGTTTGACTCTAACTGTAATTTATTTTACATAAATTTGAGTTAGTTGAAAGAAATTTTCCCTCTTTTGTGAAATTACAGTTAATAGCTAGCAAAATAAAACAGACCGAAACTGTAAATAATGTTTACAATAAAAACTACTATTTTTATAAGTGGTAATTATAATTACATTTAAAAGAAAAAAAAACATAAATTCTTGAAAATTATTATTTTACACATATTTGCCATTATTTAACGGCCAAATTCTAAAGAGTTTAAAAAAAAAAAAAAAAAAAGTATATATTTACAATTTTGCTGAATTACAGAAAATAACCAGTAAAGTCACACAAAAATAGACAATTTACATTCTGGTCGTAAATTTTTAAAAAGTCAAAATCAAAAATCCATATTATTACAAATAGTAATCTGTTCTTTTGCAATAAGAGACATTAAAATTAAACAATTAAAATTAGCTTTAAAAAAAATAAAAAATTTTTTTACAGATATTTGTTGTATTTTACATGTTTTTTACAAGTTCTGAACATTCAAATATTTTACAGTTTTTAAATGTTTTTTTCTTCTACGAGAATTTCACCAAATATTCTTTTCTTTTTTCTTTTTTTTTTTTTTTTTTTTTTACAGTGTACTGTATATCTGCTGTAAGCTGTAAAAAATGAATGAAAATAGCACAAAAACAACCAAATGTTAGCGTACAGCAGCAACACTTGCCCTTTTAATATTCTGTCCGGATGCAAATAGATTATAAGTGATATACAGCGAGCCGTGTGCGGCGGCCACAACACTAATCCTGCAGTTTGTTCCCAATAAATCCCTCCCATATTCACTGTCCATCCCTCGGACGTCTCAGTGAGCAGACCCACCCCTGGTCTCTTTCTAGTCCAGCTGGACCTGCTCACATCACCCACATCTGTCCTGCTGTGTTCTGCCAGGAGGCTCTTCCATTGATTGGACTGACTATAGATCTGTTGCATGACATGGTTTGTCCTGTAATCGGCAGCGGATGTCGCAATTTACTGCATTTACTCGCTTGTCAACGAACATTTTTTAAAAACAATTTCATCCTTGGTCCCTTGAATATCTGTGTCATGTTACTTCACATGTATCCGCCAGACCCTGAAAAAAATATATTTACCGCAACTTTGATGCAAATTTATGCTTGCGATCAGTTGCATCATGCAGCCTCCTCACAGGAATGAGGCTGTGTTTCAGCACCAAAACTATACAAACGCACATTTGAAGGAGCCGTCCAAGACGAGCTCAAGTTCCAATGAGTCGAACAATCTGCAATTAGACCATCAGGGTAGTTTTTTAAAAGAGTCACAAATCACATCAAGCATCTGTTTTCATCAGCTGAGTCGTAATTCACATGTCAGGACTGTGATTTAAGCAATCATTTTACAGATTTTTAAAAGACAGCCCCCTCTCAAAAACACAAATTCTTACAGTATTTGTGCAAGCAGCTTATTACTATCAATGTGTCATTGAGACAGCGCCCTCTGGTGTACAGAGTTCTTATGACGGCCGCTAAGGGGGAAGCATCATGACGTCATTTTGGAACCCTAACGTCTGTTCAGGGAGGAGGTTGGGGTGGATGGATGGGTCAAGAAG